TAAGTGGCATTATGGTTTGAATTAAATTGTTGTCTACCAACTTTCTTTTTTTTTTTTTTTTTTTTTAGATTTACTTTGTTACTTTTAGTTAAATTGCTTTTCTTTTTTTTTTTTTTTTTAATTTTTTTATTGGATGTTTTATTTACATTTCATATGTTGTCCCCTTACCCCATCCCCCACCCACCCAGGAACCCCCAATCCCCTCACCCCTCCTCCTTCTTCTTTGTGGATGTAACCTCTATCTACCCCCCCACTCCCACCTCCCCACCCTCAAAACTCCCACCCCCTGGGGCGTCCAGCCTTCATGAGGTCAAGGATCTCATCTTCCACCTGTGCCCAGCAGGGCCCTCCACTCTTATATATTCAGCTAAGGCCCTGGATCCCTCCATAAGTGCTCCCAGGCTGGTGGTTTAGACCCTGGGAGCTGTGGTTGGTTGGTATTGTTGCTCTCCTCATGGGGCCACAAATCATAAAGGAGTATTTTAATAGCCATCTATATAATAGTGGTATTCTTTGATACTAAACCAAAGCTTAACATACTAGCTTACAGTTTTCAGTATCAACTGAGAAAAAAAATGAAGTTTTGTATTTTACCATATTATAGTTATATAATAATGTTTTAAATTTTAAGTGACTCTTTCATGCATGTATAATTCTGTTACATCATTGGGAAATCTTGCATTATTGAAATATACAGATTTCCAACATTTCATTTTACACTATAAAAATCAGGTTCAGTATTATCAATGCTAACAGTCAGGACATCTTTAGATCTTGAGAACCCATCAAACTCTAGGAGGCAGGAACTGATTACTATATATCACCTGGATTTGCTAGGAAATGTAGGTTCTAACATTGGCTACAGATATTGCCACTCATTTTTTCAAAGTGACAGACCCTCTTTGTTTATTTTCAGGGAAATATCTTGAGTCTAAATATGTGTATTTATTCAAGGATAGAGATTAATTAACTGGAATAGGTCACATAGCCCATAGTGGCCTAGAGATTAATTACCTGATGTTGGGTCACATAGTCAATAGGCAGAACTGGGACTAGAGACCAGTATTTTAGAGTCTTTATGTTGTATTGCCACATGTCTAAATTATGTGGGACTTACCAAAGCATGTTCTTATAGTAGTGTATATGGTGTTTTTTCTAGAGAACATGAATGGTTTAAACAGGATTTGCCCAGTTACCTATTTCCTGAAGACCCCTCCTATGATGCTAACGTCATTGATGATGAGGCTGTGAAAGAAGTATGTGAGAAATTTGAGTGTACAGAATCAGAAGTGATGAACAGTTTATATAGTGGTGACCCTCAAGACCAGCTTGCAGTGGCTTATCATCTTATCATTGACAATCGGAGAATAATGAACCAAGCCAGTGAGTTCTACCTCGCCTCTAGTCCTCCAACGGGTTCTTTTATGGATGACAGTGCCATGCATATCCCACCAGGCCTAAAACCACATCCCGAAAGGATGCCACCCCTCATAGCAGACAGCCCCAAAGCACGCTGTCCACTGGATGCACTGAACACAACTAAGCCCAAGTCTTTAGCTGTGAAAAAAGCCAAGTGGCATCTTGGAATCCGAAGCCAGAGCAAACCATATGACATTATGGCTGAAGTGTACCGAGCTATGAAGCAGCTGGATTTTGAATGGAAGGTAGGTAATCACAATGTACTAAGGCTGTTTGTACAGAGATTTTTCTTTTATAATAAGTTGTTAAAATGGTTGAGTATTGAGGTCCACACAAAGTTGGTTTTGATTTAGAAATAATTGTAGCAGGCTTCATGCTTTTGGTTGACATGCTTCATTCTTTTAAATTATATAACAAACACAGTAGAAATATAATAAAGGACAAAGAGCTACTGATGCTGGGAACGTATTTCTATTTCCAGCATAGCATTCTTGGCCATGCAGTGAAATTATCTGCGAAAACAGCTCACCTCTCTCAGCATGGCTCATAGCGACAAAATGTGGAAAATTTGAAAGGCAATTTCTTTGAACTTTTTTCAGGACTTTTCAGGAAGCTTGTTTTCTCTCCAGGCTTTTTTGGCATAGATGGTTGATGGCTAGGAGAGCTATCATTCAGTATATATTATGCTGTCAAGACGTGTTCATTCAGTCAGCAAATACTCTTCTCTAAGTGGAGAAATTTTCTCATCTGGCCTTTAAATCCTTGACATGTTAGTTGCTTTACTCATGCAGTGACAAAATACTTGACAGAGGAGGAGGGAAGAAGAGGGGAGGAATGAGAGAGAAGAGGAGGAGGGAGGGAAGGAGAGAAGGAGTGAGGGATAGAAGGTTTATTCAGACACTCTGTTCTAGGACACAGGCCATCACAGCAGGATGTCATGGAGGCAGGGGTCTGAGGCAGAAGATCACATTATGTTCAGTCAGGACTCAGAAAGCCATCACTGCTGGTGCTCAGCTCACCTTCTCCTTTAGCTCAGGGCTCCAGCATATGGAATGGTGCTGCCCACATTTAGTCTAGACCTTTCCACTTCAGTTTCCTTCATCGAGAAAATCTCTTACAGACATGCCCGGCAGTGTGTCCTTGAGGTGGTTGTAGACCTTGTCATGATGACAGTATTAACCATCACAAGTCTACCTTGGTCAACTGCATCCCAGATCATACCATTTCAAAGCTATATAACCTTCCATCTCTTCCTCCCGTAGAATCATAACCATCTCATGATAGAAAGGGCATTCAGTACAACTTCAGGGGTCCCCATAGTCTTTAGCAGTGCCAACACTGTTCAGTACTAACTATCATACTTCATTATGGCATATTTTTATTATAATCAGCACATATTTTTACTTTTTTCAATTTAGCATTTCATTGCAGTTTAACTCTATTTGAATATATATGGGACATTTTAAAATAAGATATCCCTTTAACTGTTGTTCTTTTCTTGAGGGTGATGAATGTGTGTTTTATCTATCTATCAATCAATCTATCTATCTATCTATCTATCTATCAATCATCTATCTATCTATCCATCCATCCATCCATCTATCTATCTTCCCCAAGGAAGGACAGGTCCTAGTATGTCTTTGCAGCTGTCCTAGAACTGATGTGTAGACCAGTTTGGCCTTGAACTCATAGAGATCCATCTGCCTCTGCCTCTGCATGTGCTACAACTGGCCTATTTTAATTTTTAGCAACTTCATACATATATAAAATGAATTCTTGTTATTTTCCCAATTCTCTCTTATTGCCCAAACCCCAGTACCCACCTTTTCCCTACTTGTCCCCTTCCAGATTCATGACTTATGGGTTTGTTGTATGAGTCATTAAGGAGAAAAAAAAATCAAATTTATCATATAAATATTCAATACATTTTAATACATCAGTTTTAGTAAGCTTTCATGTATTATTTTACACGATTAAATAAACTAATGTTTACTTAAACTTAAGTCTATCTCCTTTTTCTGAAGTTATTTTATTTAGTTAAAAAACTTTTGCTGGACATAGTGGCTCATGACTATAGTACTAGCACTTCAGAAATGAAACCTGAGTCAGGAGAATGTCTATAGATTCAAGACCAGTGGGGGACCCTGTCTCACTATATAAATATGTAAATAAAAGGAGATGCCAACATTTTTTAAATATCCATGGAAAGAATTTAGAAACTAATTTGACCAATGTTCTGAAGACCCAGAATCCTCTTTATCTGAAATGCAGTTTTCAGTCTCTAAAAGGCAGTAACACCAATCCTCTGGTATTGTAGTATTTGGATTTTATTGCTTTACCTGATGGAAACCACTAACATTTAGTTCTTGGTTATTCCTTCAAAGCAACTGAAGAAGAGGCAACTAAGATTATTATTAATACTCTAGAAAGGATCCATATCTGAGTTAAAGGCTGGACTATAGGATCTAAGTTTTTAACAAATGCTGTTGTTAGTGGGATTAAATATATCAAACTATTTGTAACATAGAGAACTCAACCATAAATTCTTCTCTCCCTTACCCATATTTGCTTTTGATGTTCTTTGCAAAGATGGAAGACATTAAATTTTTATTTATTTTCGGTTTTAGGTAGTGAATGCGTACCATCTTCGAGTAAGAAGAAAAAACCCAGTGACTGGCAATTACGTGAAAATGAGTTTACAGCTTTACCTGGTGGACAATCGGAGCTATCTTCTAGACTTTAAAAGCATCGATGGTAAGGAGGCTAGCAGGAGTGAGTCCTGAGAAATCAAACTTGGCACAATGTGACCTAGTGTTAAAATCATCAAAGACATGGTGGGTGGGTCCTCTACTCTTAATACAGATCTAAACAAAATGTAAGTAAAATCAAATATGTGGTTTTAGCAGAAAATAAACTGCCAAGAATGTAAGGTATTTTCAGATGTATGTATGTTCCCCTTTATTTCCTTATAAATGCTGCATCTTCTAAAACACCAACATCACGATCTTTCCTTCGCTCCTTGCTCAGATCTGTTTTACTTCCCATTCTCCTGCCGCAGCTTCCCCGGGAGGACTTGGGCAAGTGCTGGGCTGTTACTATGTTTACTGTTCTTTGGTCGTTTCAGATGAGGTGGTGGAGCAGAGGTCTGGTTCTTCAACACCCCAGCGCTCCTGTTCTGCTGCTGGCCTCCACAGACCACGGTCAAGTTTTGATTCCAGCACACCTGAGAACCATTCACTTTCTGGCTCTCTCACTGGTTCTTTGACCAGCAGCACTTTGTCGTCGGCTTCCCCCCGCCTTGGCAGTCACACCATGGATTTCTTTGAAATGTGTGCCAGTCTTATCACTGCTTTAGCTCGTTGATAACCCACTTCTGGTCTCTGTCTGTTGCTGCACTGTGAAATCACGTACACTCTAAATTATATCACACTCTCGGTATTACATGCTCTGCAATAGAAGTTGGTGTGGACATTCCCAGGTGACATGCAGCGTTATTGAAATCACCAAAAACACAGAAATCCGGCATTCTGTTTACTTTTAGAACTCTACTGTGCCTATGATAATAAGTTTGAATAGGTTGTAATGGATGAGTGCTGGTGAAGTTTGTTAACTTAGACCTGGAAAGTCACTACACATGATGAACACACCTCACTGATGAACCAGCTGATGTAGGGGTGGTTCAGTGGGGCCTCCTTCATGTTTAATGCATGTAAATCCAATTTGCCTCCTAAATTTCAACAGGTATCAGGCTGTCTAGGCACCCTTGCACAAGAAGATTAAGAAATAGAGTAACTGTTAGTGAAATATTTAAATGTAGAAATCTGAAAATCCTGTCTCCCTAAATATCAGAAACCAAAGTCTTTTTAATAGTTTCTGCAAGTACTACCTAGTATTAGCCGTAAAGACTATGTTTCTGATAATAGGAGCCCAGTGTCCCAGCTTTCTGACAGTTGTGCAAGGCCCCGAGTTAAATCCCACCACTACCAAGCAATAAAAAACCATGCAAAATTAGTACACAGTTCAGTGAGACAAGCAAAATACCAACAGTCTCTTAAGAGAAAATTCTACTCTATGATCTTGTTTTGTGTTTATGAGACTAGGGTAGCAGCGGGGAGGGCCAGGAGTCACAGCCCTCTGGCATCTTTGTTAATTCATTTGAAATTTGTTATTGATGCCACCTCCTCCCTTTGTCTTCCTCAGTAGCCACCGTCTTTCCTCATTTCTTTTCCCTTTCTTTAATCCTTCAGTTCAAAACCTTGCTCTGGCCATAGGGTCTTTGTATACTTCCAAAGCTTGATCTGCTGTGACCTTCACTGTTGAACCTGACTGGACAGGGAAGCCTTAAATATTTAAAAATATATTTTCCTGGAATAAGTATATGTGTTGTTTACATATATATACATATGTATTGACACATCAGTGCTTTTACTAAAAAAAAAAAAACCAAATTTTTTTGTGCAAATTTTTTTTTAATTTAAGATTAAAAAAACACTATATAGCAGGATAGATAAAGTTAATTGATTATATGTTGTTTTGGTTAAAGTATTTTAAATTATGTATAATTTATCTAATAATTATTTATTCATTTATTGTATTTATGTTGTAATTAACAAAATCATTGATCTGATTCACCCTAGAAAATATTAAGCTCTTGAAAACAAATGTAACATTGCCTTGACAGGTTTCTCTTCACCAAAAATAGTATATTTTCTATTTACCAAGAAGCAAATGGGACTGTTAGACCAAGTTTCTCATGTTGCTTACAGAAGACAAGTTTGTCTACTTTTAAATAGCTTTTTGAATCAGGAATTTGCATCATATCACATCAGATAACATTGTAGTTCTTTTTAAAATGATGGTCAATATTTATCATTCCAACTTTTCAATAGTAAAATAAAAGAAACTTTGCTCACTAATTTCAAAAGGAGGGCATACAATTGAAGGTACCTTAAGGTTTTAACCTTTGAAAGATTGCCATCTTGTGGCAATAGATGGTAATTTTAGTAGTTATTTTAATACCAATACTTAGTCCTGGTTTGTCTAATGTGTTTTATGAATGTGGCATAATTTTGGCTTCTCTAAATGTGTACGTATCCTTTTTTGTGGGGTGGGGGAGACCACCTCTTAATGTTTGCCTAATTATGACATGGGATACCTTGAAATAAGGAACTGATTAGATTCCTTACCTCTAATAACGGCATCCACAACAGTTACGAAGGCAAGAAGGATGCAGAATGCTTTATTAGTCTAGTGAATTTAAACCAAAATTACTTTATATGAATGATTATGATGCTATTCAAGAGCTAAAAATTATTTACTATTGTCTTATTTATTCCAGTATTTATGAATACCCTGGTTGATAGTTGCCTGTTGAATTTCAGGAGAACTGAAGGTCATTTTGTTTCTTTTAACATTTTAAGACATAATTATTTAAGGAATATAGGTAACAGAGTAAATTGGTTTGCAGAGAGAATTCAGTGACTCATCTCGAAAAACAGGCTGGAATTTAGTCGCAGCACAGGGGTTTGTTGCTCTTGGCAACAGAGAGGGAAAGAATTCTTTGCAAATTTACAGTTCCCACATTTCAGCCAATGCTGTGAGTATGGTAGATACTGAGTTTAGAGCAGTCTATGCTCTTGGATCCTAGGGAGAATTACTGTTAGGTTAATAGATGTGGGCCTTATTTATGTCCTGGAAATAGAGTCCATCTGTTTCCAAATAATATTTCCTAAAACAAAGAAATCCCACAGAATAATTTTGGAATACATTGTGTTCTGCTCTGCACCTTGCAGAGGACAGTGATTATTAGCATGAAAGACTGGCAGACTTTGAGAAAAAGACAAGCCATGTAACAATGTGAAACCCTACTTTGCCCAAACTAGTTTACTCTTTTAAAACTTTTGGTGAGTCTGATTGGTTACCTGTAATACAACTGGGGAGCAAGAGGCAGGAAGATATGTTGGGGCCTAATGACTAGGTAGATAGCAAGACCTTGTTTCAAATTAAGATAATAAACCTTAGCATCCCATAAGAAAATATGAGAAATGGTTGTCTCTGATCGCCACAGACAGTGTGGTCATTAGTGACACTGAGTAGCACCTCTTCCCCAGAGCCTGAAGCTAATTCAGAACCACTTCATTCACCATGCACACAGGTTCATCCTAACTCTGTGGCTTGTATCACATGTGGTTTTTCTAATCAGACTGATGCTTTTTAGGTAGAACACCTATTCCTTTTTTTCCTTAGTGGATGACTGAGAAGTCTAAGACAAGGTTACTTATGGAAAACCAGAAGAGCAAGAGACCAGCAACTTTCTGTTGTGGCTTCATGGAGAGCAAGTCAGTTTTATTCATTCTTCAGTGGTCACTGAATATTTCCAAGTCCTTTTATTTTGGGAACCAAAATTGAAGTTGTCTCAAATTAAATCTACAGGGAGAGAGAAAACCAAATCATTCACAAGTTAGGGTTTTGTTTTGATCAAGAAACCTTGTAAGAGACCCTTTCAGCATCTGGTTATCTGCAGAGAGAACCTAGGAGCCCAAGCCAAGCAGAAATATTAAGTCCTTCTGTGCTAGGGAATTGGATACATGTAGCACAGTAATTCTCTACTTTATGCAATTAAGTTTTCAAGCATACTTAATTAATTCTGGGTATACTCTTTCCTTAGCTAGTTTGTACTCAGGGAACACAAATTTAATACTTGAGATGAAATGAAACACAATTTCGAAAACAATCATAAACAACTGAATCAGATTTTTATACTGCTTTATCTGTAGTCCTTACTAACATGTAAGCATGCTTAGTTAATGTGGGCCCCACATGATGTTTGTAAGACTTAACAGCCTGGAACATATCTACCTACCACAGACCCTACAGCTCTGTCTGGTCACTGGTTACTAAGTTAAAGTCCCAGTGTGAAGTCTCATACCTAAATGCGAGATCTGCCCATAGACTTGTTTGCTTTGTGTTTGGTTTTAAAGACCTAAAACTCTTCAGTCTGGCAACTTGTCCTTCAGTTCCTCTGTGGCTTGTTAGGTAGGGATTATGACTTAGTAGTTTTTGGCAACTCTGTTTAAAACTTTGGATGAAGGCTATATGTATCGTAAGTGTGATCTTGGACGTGGCCTCAATTTAAAACACTAAAAAGAAAGGGATGGATAAAGAGCTATCGTCCCTTTGAGGTCAAATGTCCTGCCTTGTTTACTTCTTCAGAGCATCAGTGTTAGTGTTCACGTTTTATGTATTTGTATCTGTATAGTAGTATGAGTGTTCTGTCTTAGTCTGAGGCATTTCAAAGGTATACTAACCATAACTACTTGGACTACTGGAATGCAAAAATCAAAACACGGTGTGGATTTAGCATTAATTAGAAAATGAGTGGTGTGTGGCAGTGGCGGTGCTGATGCATTTCCAGGTCAGCTGATGCACCCTTGCAGTAGCCAGTCCAGTAAGCAGGCTCAGCAGTCTCTCCATAAGTCACAGTGCCATACATGTTTTCATGCAGTGGTGACCAAATGTTCATTGCAGTTGATCACCTTCTGGGCTGAACAGAAAGAGTTTGTGAAACATCTGATAGTCAAGTAATAAAAATAAACACTGGTGTATTGTTTGTAAATCCTGGGGTGACATATAGTATTTGTAACTGAATATAATTAGTCTAATTATAAAAGCTAGTTGATTGCACTAACTAGATGTAATTTTGTGAAATATTTATGATTATATTGATTTTTATTATAAGTATTTATAAGTTATTGAGGGTGCTTAAAATCCAGAAAAATCTCTAGAACATATTTTTTTCTGCAATTTTATTTATATGATTTTGGTGTAGGGAGTTTTGTACTGGGGATTGAACCCAGGCTTCACATGTATGAAGCAAGTGGTTAACTGCTGACCTAAACCCCTGACCTTATTCTTAAAGTACAGTCTCTTTTTGTAAAGGAAAATTAGCCCCAGTCCTATCTAAATGATCACAGTTTGTGACTGTTAGCTGAATTAGGCTTATCTAAATTTCATTTTGGTAAATTTTTATTTTCTGCATAAACGAGATGACACTGTTTTTATACAGTGTGTCTCTATGAACTACCTAATCACTATTGGCTTGATAGAAATTCTCCAAGCCTTTTTAAACTTGGAAATGTAACTTTAAGTTAATGAGCTTTAAATCATGCACATATGTATGTGTATATATACATATGTATTATGTAAACAAGTTAGCGGCATCTTTACCAGCCTTTCCTTGAATATTTATGATGCAGTTGATGCCACTAAGCAGTAATAGCATGAGGGACAGGCCCACAGTCTAGACTGGATTGAGTTTTGATTAAACTTCTTCAGCCATAACCTGATCAGAATCAAGTCCCATCCAGACGTTATCAGATTGCGGGTCTGTATTTTGTGACCCAACATTAACGTTTACTGCCAGCTTTGCATAGCAATGCCGTTTGTGACTGCATGTGACGTTTGGTAACTGTAGTTTATGTCTAAAAGCAGTTTGAGATTTATAGAGATAATTCATGATTATTTGGACAAGCAGGGTGGATAAATTCAAGTATATTTAAAGTGCAATTAAGGAAATTCTATGGTATAATATTCTCTCCGGTTTTAAAAAAAATTAAGGATTTGTAAAATGTCCTAGAATGAAAACATTTTTGAGCAGACTTTTTAAAAATTAAGGTTTATACAGTGTTTTTTTTTTTAATTCAAGGTTTGCTACTTTGTGTTAATTTAAATTTGTAAAGAGAAACTGAAGCCTCCTAGGAAAGAATTTCATTGTTATTTTTCTCCTGCTAGTCTGAATGTGCATTTTCACAGCTAAAAGTCTCTTGTAAATAAGGTTTGTTACTAAATTTGAAGCCCATTTTTTCTAAATGGAGAACATTTTCCCAGAATCAAAGAGATACAGACCCACTGTCTACACAAAGAAAGAAAGAGTACTCGGTGCCTTCTCAAATAATTGCAGAGTCAAAGTAAACATGTGTTTAAAGTTTGTTCCCCACCCCCAGTTCCTGTTTTCCTGTGACCTGTCTCACAGACGGTCATGTGATTTGCTTCTATCTTTTCAGTTCCACTTGACCAAACCTCACAGTATCACTGGAAGTTTTTCACTGAATACATTTTCTCTTTCATTTATTTCACTTTTTAAAGCCACCTGGGAAAATATTTGGCTGCCTTCTTATGCTTTTAAAATGAATGCAATCACTAGCAGTCTTTATATGTTAAAGTTTATAAAGGAAAGAAATTCAAAGCTAAGGACCGGATCTAATTGGATCTAATCCCGTTTGCTACTGTAGCAGCACAAGTTATGTAACCTTGTGAAGTTTTCTCTTGTACAAAATGTGGATAATAACCTACCTCACAGATGTGTGTGAGAAGCCGTTTGAAAGCCCCTAGGTAGGGGTTTAAAGTCCCATC